TGTGTGTGTGTGTGTGTGTGTGTGTGTGTGTGTGTGTGCGTGAAGGTCCAGGGGCCGGTAAAAGGAAAGGCATCCCAGGATGACGGCAGTCTCAGCACCTAAGGATCATAGCAATAGAGTTCTAGAGCTGAAAGAGATTTCAAGAGGTCATCAACTCCAAACCCCTTATTTTGCAGAGGAAGAAACTGAGGCACAGAAAGGCAAATGACACCGCTAATATTTGAGGCTAATTTGAACCCCAGGTTTCCTAACTCCATGTCCAGTGATCTATCTATCCACTCTTCCACATTGCTTCCAGAGATCCTTAGCAGCATGGATCCCGTCCCAAGTTTTACTCCTCCTATTCCTTTAGAGTCCTGGGAACACACCTGTCCACCTTCTCAAATTTGGGTGTCTTAACATCCCTCTCCCAATGTGGCTCAGTCCTCTCCTGTCAATTCCTCTTCAATCTGTATGTCTTCTCTAGGCCCCAAGAACAGTCCTTAAGAAAATGGATATCACTGCCTAGCAGTCCCTTCGGTCTTTCTGTCTCCCCAGGGCACGCTGGCCCTCTCCCCTACAGCTGTCTCTCCCAGGCTTTAAGCAGGAACTGCTTCCCTTTCCTAAGACCCTGAGAGTATGACCTTTCTGTCCCCCTCTCCAGCCACCTACCCCGAAAAGTCCTCCTTGCCAAAGACAGCCAGGAACACAGCACTCAGAACCAACAGCCCCTTCATGGTGAAGCCACTCAGGAAACGCAATCTGAAGTGACAAGAAAGAGCTCGAGGTTTTTAAACCCATGCCAGTGAAGCCTGGTTGGCTTCCAGAGAGGTTGACTGTGTTGACTCCACCCCTCCCATCTGCTCTCAGTCCCAAGGTAGGTCACCCTCAACCCTATCCCCTACACTCTGAGGCCTTTCTGCCCTTCCTGATAAAGCACTGAGAATGGGCCAGCTGGAGAGATAGGCTGAGTTTCAACCTTTTGGCTCTCAGCTGGGGCCGGGTTGAATTTTAGGCAACCCAGACCTCTATTGCATGTTTTTTTTTTTTTTTTCCTGTGGTCTACAACAAGGGTCACATCTCAGATTACTGAACAAACATAGCTGGGAGTTAGAAGGTCTGGCTTGGCTAGTGGCACCTATTTCAAATGATGAAACCCTTGTTTTCCACAGTTCCACAAGCCAAGCATTGAGCAAGGGGCTGGGGACACAGAGATGATAAACAAGTCTCTGACTCTGTGGAGCTTACAATCTAATGAGGGTGGGGGATTACTAACTCAAGTAAGTATGACAAACAGAAGAATGGGACAAGGGCAAAGAATGTGGGAAATCTGAGGAGAGAGAGAACGTTTTCAGCTGGAGGTACAGGGTTGTATTTCTGATCACTGAGGCAACAGAGATCTTTGGACATTTTGAGTCCTTTGTTCAAGAAGGGGAAGAGGGACCCATAGTTCTCCACACGGCTCTCTTTGTACTGAGTTGCCTCCTTACCCCATAGACCTACAGTTGAGGCTGTTACTCCTCTATCACAAACAGAGCTGTCCCGAGGATATGGTAATTTGTGTCCATATTCCCAGGCCCCACATTTTTGGGAGGCCCAACAGTATTGTGGGAGAAAAAATTAAGGAGTCAACAAGTCACTTAGGATATAAATTATAGTCCTTAAATTAGGAGTCTTAGTCCAATCACCTTGTATTTCAGGTAGGGAAACTGAGGCCTAGAAAAAGGTAGGGAAGTAACTTGTGCCACATCCCACAGACAGTAAGCAGCAGAACCAGCATTTGAAAACAGGTCATCCGTCTCTAAATCCCAGTGATATAACCCTGTTTCTTTCAGCTTCAGTTTCCTTATTTGTAAAATGAAGATAATAGCACTTATGCTATATACTTCAATAAACAAGCATTTATTAAGCACCTACTATGTACCAGGTGTTGTTCTAAGCACTACAGGTACAGTCAAAATTGAAACAGCCCCTGCCCTCAAGGAGCCTACATCCTATTACTGGAGATATGTGTATATATACATATATACCATATTTCACCACATAATCATCACAGATTTTGTGCCAATTTTTTTTTGCAAAAAAGTGGAATATGACCATTATGTGAAGCTTTTTTTTAAAAAATGTGTTGGTATTACTTAGAAATCATTTATTACTAAACTGTCTTTGGCGCAAGATTAGGATGCACAGAATACTCATGAATATATATTAAAATTAAATAGACAATGTGCCTGCACTGAGAATTCTAGGCCTGTGGTTTGCAATCTGCAAGAGATAAATGCAAGTCCATATGCCATTGGTGAATACATTGTTGCTCTGTTTACCATGTTGTTTTTTTTTGTTTTTGTTCTGTTTTTTTAGGCAATTGGGGTTAAGTGACTTACCCAGGGTCACACAGCTGATAATTGTCAAGTGTCTGGTCTGAGGCCGGATTTGAACTCAGGTCCTCCTGACTTCAGGGCCGTTGCTCTATCCACTGAGCCACCTAGCAGCCCCTCTGTTTACCTTTTAAGCAGCATGCCGAACAGAATTATACCATGCGACAATTATGCAATGAAAGGTTATAAACCAATTTTTGAACTGAAAAAACAGGGCACCGATGATTATGCGGTGAAGACAATTATGCAGTGAAATGTGGTAGGTGTGAATATATGTAAAATATACATAGTTATACATGCATATGTAATACATACAATTAATTGTGTATATACATATATGTTACATATGTGAAATATATGTCGATGTGTGATACATATGAAACAAATACAAGGTAATTTTAGGAGGAGGCACTTAGTAACTTAAGAGAAAATGAGTTAAGTATAAAGGAGAGAGAGGTCCAGGTATTGTGTTATGCCAAAGTTGAGGAGAGACAGACCCGTTTCATCGGGAAGGATCAGCAAAGGCTTCATGGAGGAAATGGCACCTAAGCTGATCCTTGAAGGAAGTGATGAATTTGAGCAGACCAGAACATGGGGCTGGGACTGAAGGAAGGGGGAGTGGGGAAGAATCCTATGAGAGAGTGTAAACGAGGGCACAGAGATGGAAGAAGGGAGGTGAAACCAGGGGACAGAGAGTAGTCTAGTTTGGCTGGAGTGTAGAGTACACAAAGGAGAATAGGAGATGAATCTGGGAAGGTAAACTGGAGTCACATCATCAAAGAGCCTTGATTGCCAGGATTAGAAATTGATGCTTCCTTGGACGCCTCAAAATCCCGATAATAAAGTAAGACCTGCAAGCAATGAGAGGCAAAGAAAGAGGGAGAGGTCATTGAAAGGGAACTTGGGACCAGAAAGGTCAGCAAAGAGGTAAGAACATTTTGCTTTTCATAAGCCACAGTACGAAGAAAGAGACCCAAGGTGGGTAAGGATCCAAAAGGGTCATGTCTCCCTAGAGGGAATGAAGTTGGAAAATATTTAGAGAGTGGAGCTCAGCAAGAGAAGACAGATATGGGTGAGGGGCACAGAGACCAGCATGAGGATGCTGAGTGCCTGGTCAGCGGGGCTATAGGATCCAGATGGAGAATGTTGCTGAAAGCTGGGGAGAAAGGAGGTATGGAAAACCAACTTTGACTCCTTACCTGGGTCAGCCCTGCCTTTAACCACTGTGAGGTGGTATTGGGAGAAGACACCCTTAGACTCTACTCAGCCAGAGTTACTGGGCCTGAGAGTCCTGGCCTTAGCCCTGGAAGGAACCAGATCTGTGAAGCAAGACCAAGGACCACCTCTCTACTGGTGACCCAACTATGGGGATTGTCAACAACGCATAGGTGCTGGAGTAGGAAATCACGCCCAGCCCGGGATGGTACTGGGACAATGCTGCCCCACCGGCCAGTGGAGAAACCCAGTGGCCAAAAGCAGAGAAATGGTATCCAGGAGGCAGGACACATGTGTCCCCTCACAGAACACAGCCTGCCATGTAACTAACACCAAAACCCACCCTTGGGCCTCTTCTGGATTGAAAGGTCACTTTGTTCAGTACTTGGATAATTTAAAAGAACTGTAATTACATCAGAGTAGTGTTCCATCTGGCTCACAAGTTCTATGACCAAAAAACCTGATCATTTGGTGAGCATCCTTCTGGTAGCCATGCTTCTCTCCCCATGGTTCTTTCTGGAAATCTATACAGCATAGGATTCATCAGTCCCATACAGAAAGTCTTTCGATCCTTGGTCACCAGTCCCATACAGAAAGTCTTTCTATCCTTGGTGGGTCCTGCCAGTGTTAGCTCTCTTCTGGAATAGCTGCAAGAGTTTTTGGTCATCTTCCATGATGTGGCATCAGAACAGAGAGACAGTATGGTGTAGTAGCTAGGACATTGGACTTAGAACCAGGAAGACCTGTATTCAAATTCTGTTTTAATGTTTAGTTTTGTGACACTGGGCAAGTCACTTAATTTCCTTGTGACTCTGTTTCCTCATTTATGAAAATGAAAGGGGACAGCTAGGTAGTACAGTGGATAAAGCACCAGCACTGGAGTCAGGAGGACCTGAGTTCAAATCCAGCCTCAGACACTCACTAGCTGTGTGATGATGGACAAGTCACTTAACCTCAGTTGCCTCCATAAGTGAATGAATGAATGAATGAAAAATAAAAGGTTTAGACTTGAACTCTAAAGTCTCTTTCAGCTTTAAATCTGTAATCCAAGACAAGATTAAATCTAAATTAAATTAAATTAAATCAAATCTATTAAGACAAGAGAGAAGCTTAATGTGCTTTATATTTTACCAAGTGTTTTCCACATACATTCCTTCATTTATTTCCTCCTAATAGCCCAGTGAGTTAGGATCATAGATGTAGCGATGAAAGGGATCTTAGAGGCCATTTTCTCCAATCCCCTCATTCTGTAGATGAGGAAACTGAGAGCCAGAGAAGAGATGGTTTGCTCCAGTTTTGAAGGTGACAAGGCAGGCCTTCTTAACCCCATTGCATTGATGAAGAAATGAAAGGGGGAGGAGGGAAGGAGGGTGAGACAAAGAGAGATAAATGCAGAGACAGACACAGAGAAATGGAGAGATAGACACAAAGAAAGAGATGGTGGAGGAGGAAAGAGGGAAGAGAGAAGTCGAGAAATGGAGAGACAGAGAAAGAGTTGGTTAAGGAGGAGGAAAAGAAGAGAGAGAGGTAGAGAGACAGAAACAGACAGACACAGAAAGAGGGAGGAGAAGAGAAAGGAAAAGAAAGAGGGAGAGGGAAAGAGGAAAGAGACAGAGAGAGAAAGACAGGGAAATTTAAGTGACTTACTCAAGGTCACACAACTAAGAACAGAGTGGAGAAAGCAATCCCTTGCCCCTCCCTTCCTTTCCATGATGCTGAAGTAGAATATGCTTAGAACTGTGTAGCAATTTCAGAGTCTTGAAAAGGGGCTACAGACCCATAAATGATCTCTTTTGTGGTTGTTAGCTAAGTAGAGTGGGTTAGTAAGTGGGTCAACAGAACCAAGGTTGTGAGTTCCATTCCCACATGGGTCAATTAGCTTCATTCTGCTCCTGGGCCAAAGATTTCATCCCAACCCCAGGTATCTCTGAAGTGGAACTGGGTGTGATACCTCATTGCAAACCCATCCTCCTTCAACTTAATTCTTCAGTAGAATTGAAAAGAATCTCAGAAGTCACCTATAGCCAGCTCTTTCTCTTTACCAATGAAGAAACCAAGATTCAGAGTGGTTAATTTGCTCAAGGTCACATAACTAATGAGTGGTGGATGGATGACTCAGAGTCTGGTCTGACTTGTCTTGCTTTCAACTCTGGCTGTTGCCTTTTTACACCATAGACATTTCTCTTTAGCCACTCCAATTGAAGAAGCCAAACCAACCAATATGGTAACCACATCTGACAGTGAAATGCCATGCTCCAAATCTGTCTTCCCCACCTTTTTACTAAGAGTGGAAAGGTGCATTTCCCTCGCAATTCTTCAGGACCAACTTTGTTCATTAATAGTTTGTTGGAGTACCATTGCCTTTTATTGTTTGTGTTACTGTAGTCCTTATATGTCGTTCTCTTATGCCAATAAATAGATTATAAGTTCCTTAAAGTCAGGCATCCATGTTTAGTCTTAGTTTTATATCTCCCTCAGCTTTCTCCGGTTCAATAAATCCAATTCAACAAATGTTTATGATGTGCCTACTATGTTTGAGGAACTACGCTCTCCCCAGGGGATAAAGAGACAAAAATGAAACACTCCCAGCCCTCAACAAGCTTGCATTCTACTTAAATAAGAAGATAGATGTTATGTTCTATGAATTTTTCACACACCTAGAATATTTAGGATGAGTATTTGCCTGTTGATTATGTGAACCTGTACCTGTGCACCAGTTACGATTTTCCAGGACTGCATTATTTTTTGACCATGAAGAGTGTAAGGAGAACAGTGATTTTTGTTGCTGGAAGGAATGCAATACCAAGTCTTTAGGCCTTCCCTATCTTTCAAGTCTTGCTGATTGAAACACTGGAGTATTGTTTTACATAGATAACTCAATATTCACATTAGCATCATGGGGGTAAAAAAGAGTTGAAAGGGATTTTCTTAAACTAAATAAAGGTCTGAACTCAGAGAGTGAAGTTTTAGGCATAATCAAAGGAGTTCAAAAGGCAAATTTAACCTAAGCCTCAGGATTTCTTCCAAAGATTCAACTAGCCCTGGCTTTGGGGTTTAAATCACAGAAGATAGTTACCCCCTGAGGCTATGTGCTAAAAAAGCAGGGGGAAAAAAACAAAACAAAAAGACTTCCTCCATTGGGTGGGAACAGAAAAAAGCTGTATGGAGGTAGCAATTTTGCAGAATAACATCAGGTGGTGCCAAAGAGCTGTCTAGAGGCCGGGTTTTTGCAGCTCAGATAGCCTAGCACAGTAGCACCAGGGCAGGCTAAAGATATTACTAGAGCAGCGTCTCCTTAGAAGAACCAGCCAACAGCATTTTTGGAGGCAGAGGATTTCTAGCATCCTTCTCAGCTGATACAGCACCATTCTTGGGAATGCAAGTTGCCTCTAATTATCAATATTCTTTATATACGTACCCTCTCCTGCCCATATCACCCTGGTCACACATGCTCCCACACCTGTGCTTCCAATACTAATAATAATGACTAGTATTTATATAGTGCTTTGTCACTTTGCAAAGTTTATCTCATTTCATCCTCATAGCAACCGTAGAAGGTAGGTGCTATTATTATCCCCATTTTAGAGGTAAGTCTCAGAGAGGTTCGGCAACTTTCCTAGAATTTCATAGTTTGTGTCTGAGGTAGGATTTGAAATTTGGGGATTTCCTGATCGCAGATATAGCCACTCAATTTTGCAAATACAAGACGGAGGAAGAATGGCTAGATAATAACAACAATAATAAATAGTACTTATATAGTGCTTTAAGGTTTGCAAAGTGCTTTACAAATAATAATAGCTAACATTGATATAGGTGGCTAGGTGGCCCAGTGGATAGAGTGCAGGGCCTGGAGCCAGGAAAACTCATCTTACTGAGTTCAAATCTGGTCTCAGACACTTACTAGCTGAGTGACCCTGGGCAAGTCACCCTGTTTGCTTCAGTTATCTCATCTGTAAAATTAGCTGGAGAAGGAAATGGCAAACCACTCCAGTACCTCTGATAAGAAAACCCCAAAAAGGCATCATGAAGAGTCAGAGACATCCGCAAAGTGACTGAACAACAACATTGATATAGCAAGTACTATGTGCCAAGAACTTTACAATTATTATCTCACTCATTTATTGAGGCAGACAGAGATTAAGTGATTCACCTGGAGTCACACAGCTACTAAGTCTCTGAGGCCAAATTCGAACTCAGGTCTTCCTGACTCTGGGTCCAGGGTTCAATCCACTGTACCACCTAGCTATCCCATTCCCTATTCGTGTTCTCTCTCCCATTGTACTATAATCTGAGGGAGTCTGTGCAGATAATTTTGTTGTCATTTATTCCAATACATTGCTTAATTAGAAGTCTTCTGATTTTCAATAATTTGTCCTCTGATTAGTATGGTACAAGGAATATTGGAGGAAGCTTTTTTTTTTTTTTGCTTTTTTTTCCACGAGGCAATTGGGGTTAAGTGACTTGCCCAGGGTCACGCAGCTAATAAGTGTTATGCATCTGAGGCCGTATTTGAACTCAGGTCCTCCTGACTCCAGGGCCAGTGCTCTAATCACTTCGCCACCTAGCTGCCCCTGGTGGAAGCCTTTATGCTTTGTACGCTACCAGGGGCCCAGATGGATTTTTCCTGTTCTCTCTTTTTTACTCCCTCTGTAAGTCATTTGATAATTTCAGTATTGAGGTAAAGGATCTCCCTCCCCTCTCCTCCCCTCTGCTGAAGATCCTGACCCTGAAGGATGATGAATGTACCCAGGTACCGGCAAGAGAATCCCAATTTCAGAGACAGGATATGGGGTTAAAACTTGTTTTTATTGTTTGAAGGAGAAAGAACAAGGAGGGGTTGGAGAGATGTGGAAACAAAGGAAAGGAACAACTCTGGTTCTGGGGATGGGCCCAGAAAGAAACTTCTTCCTCAAGCTGTGGCTGCACATAGTTTCTAGTAGGGGTTATCATAGGCATGCTTCACAATGGTCAGGATGGCTGGCCACGTCTCTTCAGCCGTGGGGATGATCTGACTGGCGGGCAGTAAGAAGCCATAAATTCCAGTGTCCCGCAGCTCAAAGGAAAAGGAATACTTGATGTCATGCTCATAGGCCCAGTCGATAGTGATCCCATTGGCCACATCTATGAAAAAACAGGCCGAGAAAATTAGGGGGAGGGGGGAGGGGGGAGGGGAGACAAGACAGTGTCAGATGTGGTTACCATGTTGGTTGGTTTGGCTTCTTCAGTTGGAGCGGCTAAGGAGAAATGTCTATGGTGTAAAAAGGCAACAGCCAAAAGCAGGCAGAGTTATGGATGGGGCTGATAAACAGAGGAGAGACTAAAGAAGGCAGGGATGAAGGACTGGTAGGAACACTGAAGGCAATCAGGATTTTCACTCCTCTTATGCCAAAGAGCTGGTAGTGAAAGACTGGAATATTGTAAAATACCTACATAAAATGGAATATTCTAGAATATTCACAATATCTCAGAAGCATGTATACATACATACATGTATTGTGTATACATACATATGTATGTATGTGTACATATATAAATTGGTATGTGTGTGTTTTGGTGTATACCTACATGTGTATGCATGTATGTATATGTATATATAAACATGCACATGTGTATAGAGTATATATTATGTATAGAATATATATCTATAGAATATAGAATATATATGTAGAATAGAATTTCCTTAAGAGCAGGGACTGTTTAATGTTTGTCTTTATAGCATCAGTGTCGAGGCCGTAGCCTAAAAATTATTTATTGGATTGAACTGGAGGAAAGGTGGGGGACATAACAAAGATGAAACAACTTGGTCCTTGCCAGCTAATTAGTGGGGTGTAAGACTAGACAGTTAAGTGACTTGGCTAGGGGCTATAGCAGCCCTGCAATCTCAAACCCCTTGCCTGACAGCCGCCCCCGGGGTGGGAAAGAAACACCTGCACTAGGGAATCTGCCTCCAGAAGAACGCGCAGGTGTGGTTGCTGCCCTGGGGAAGGCTCACTCACAGATGGTGCTGATGGTTCTCCCATAGACATACTCGGTTCCATGCACCTGGGAGAGAGCTTCCACTGCCTTGCGAGCGAGATTATGCTGCCAAGGAAACATCACAAATGTAAGAGGCAGGAGCATCGGAGGAACTGGAATCATCCTCCCGCCGGAGAGCTGGAAAGGTCTGGAGAGGCTAGATGCCTATAGAACATCTTGTTGTCCTTTGGTCACTTTAGTCACGTCTGACTCTTCGTGACCCCTTTTTGGGGTTTTCTTGGCAGAGATACTGGAGTGGTTTGCCATTTTCTTCTCCAGCTCATTTGACAGATGACGAAACTGAGGCAAACAGGGACTTGCCCAGGGTCACACAGCTAGTAAGTGTCTGAGGTTGGATTTGAACTCAGGTCTTCCTGACTCCAGGCCCAGCACTCTATACAGCTGCCCCTATAGAACATTACTTGGGGAAGAAAAGATTTAAGTGGGTACAGTCTGCATGGGGCAGGCAGAGAGCAAGCATTGGCCCAGAAGGCAGGAGGCTTAGTTCTAGTTGCTACCCTGGGCCTCAGTTTCCTCATCTGTAAAATGAGGGAGATGGACTTAATGATCTCTGAGATCACCTCACGAGGGAGGTGAGCTGATGCTTCTGGCTTTAAAACCCCACAGTGCACTTTCTGATTCCAGAGGATGAAGTCTGTGATGACACTCACTGCTTTAACCCTGGCTCTCTCCTCGCGTGGCCAGAGGGTGAAAGACACACCGCACAGAACTCACACAGTGGATGTCTGACAAATGTCCAAGGGACTTGACTCCAGGTGACCCAGGTGCACTTTGGAGATCATCAGAGTTTGTGGATGCCTCGAAGAGGACAGCGCTCTACAGCCTCTGGTCTTGGCCTTACAACCTCTCAACCAAGGCCTCGGGGAATCCTAATTCCTTTGTTTCACTGGCTGAAGAAGGTCCCAGGCCACCTAAGAGAAAGAGGTGGGACCACCCTGCGTTGCTCAGAGAGCTTGGGAGCTTCTAGGAGATGAGGTCTATTCCCTTCCCGCACTTCACAAAACAAAGGAAGAATGGGGTTCTCTACACATCTGGGTCCTCCCTGACCACACAGGATCCCCGAATCACGTGGCAACAATGAGGAAGGAGCCTCGGCTCCTCCAACCTCCCAGTAAGAACAGAGAAGGTCAGCCCAGAGCCTTCCTCCCAGGAAGGCTGCACCTCCTCTCCTTTCGTGGTTTGGTTTCCCTGTATCAGCCCTCCAGAGTCCTTCTTCTTTCCAGATCTACCCAGAAGGGGAAACTGGTGAAACGCACCCACCAGGACAAGAGCATAGACTTCCCCTATTATTCCCCACGACTGTGGCAAGAAGTCATGCTGTTTGAACTGCAATCTGCAAATGTTTCTCCCAACTGGCCAAGGTGGTCAGTTGTTACTTGGTGAATGTGCTGTACCTGGTCCAAATAACTGGGCCTGTATCATGTGGTTAAGTACTTCCTTATCAAACAATTTCCCAATCCTTCACCACAATGTATTTGCCGCAGCTGTATGTGGGCCAGTGAGATCGGATTACCAATTTTTCTTCACTGGTTAGTTTTGTCTTTCTGTTCAGTGGATGGAGAAGCAAAAGACAAGACTTCTCCTCAGGTCAGAGATCTGGAACCGGAAGGGACCTTAGAGTCCAAACTCCCCATTTGATGGAGGTGGAAACTGAGGGCTAGAGAGATTTAGTGACATGCCAAGGTTACACAGCTAGTAAGTGTCAAAGGTTGGATCTGAACCCAGGTCTTCCTATCCATTACGTCACTATTCCTGGAAGAGCCAAAATCCAGCCTGTATGTTCCCTTGGTGGATAATGCTTGGTGAGGCCTCTGACCTCACAATGCACATGGTTTTATAATTCTCCAACGCACTTATCGTATAATGTTTATATTTCTGTGTTTAATACATTTTAATGTCTTCCCTCACCTCCTCCAGCTCCCCAAATAAAACCATGACTCCACAGGGTAAAGGAGTGTATCTTCTTGGTACCCTCCCTGGCACCTAACACAGTGCCCCCATACACTCCAATAACCTGGTGAATCTGTGATTGCTTCAATGTGGGCATTCTAGCCAACAACGCATCTCACAACCATCCATGCCTGATCATCCTGTCAATCAGTGAGTATTTATTAAGCACCTACTGTACACCAGGCCCTGTGCTAAGCATTGACCCGTGTCTAGTGTTCCGAAAACAAAACACTCCTTCTCTTGGACCTGGGCATTCTCTCTGGCTATTCCCCCATGCCTGGAATGTTCTCCCTTCTCCACTCCAGCTACTGACCTCCCTGGTTTCCTTTAAGTCCCAACTAAAATCCCACCTTCTACAAGGAGCCTTCCCTAACCCCTCTTATTCCAGTGCCTTCCCTCTGTTAATTTTTTCCCATCTATCCTGTATATAACTTGGTTTGTATATATTTGTTTCCATGTTGTCTCCCCTATTGGATTATAAATTCTTTGAAGGCAGAAACTCTTTTGCCTCTTTTTGTATCCCCACCATAGCACCACTTAGCACAGTGCCTGACGAACAATAGACACAATAAATGTTGATTGATTGATTGATTATTGATTGATCATCTCTAAAACTCCTGTGGACTTCCTTCTATAGCTTTGTCAAGGGAGGGGCACCCATCGTGCCAGGGGACTTCTGAAGCTCTCTTCACATTGAAAGGATGTTAGTGGATACTAGTGGACCATGGGGACTGTCTACAAGTTGTCTTTCCCTCTCTCTACCTGTCTTGTCCATTACTGTTTTCTGTCTCTGAAGCCCACCTCTCATGAATCAGCCCTGTTAGTTTCCTGTAATTCCAATAATATCTTTCCTCCTAGAACTCTTCCTCCTACCATGCACAGAGCAGAGTGTGTAGTCAGAAGGCTTAGGTTCAAGTCTCACCTCTGATACTTATTATCTCTGTGAATTTGGGCAGGTATCTTTAACTCCCTAGGCCTCAGTTTCCTCATCTGTAAAATAAAGGGGACGGGACTAGCTGGTTTCTAAGGTTACAGTGAGTTCTAAATCCATGATTCTTTGAACTGTATAAGGAGTCAGACAGGGTGGGAGGACAACTTCCACATAGGATGTTTGGGCCTTTATCCGACGGGTTGTGGAGTATCCTGTTTTCTGTTTTTTGACAGAGGGTGTAACACCCTAGGAAGGCTGTCAAATAAGAGCCTTCCCCATCTGCTCTGGGAGGATGGTTCTCTCCACCCCACCCCACCCCACCCATACAATAGGGGAGGAATATTACCAGTTCCTCATTATCAGGAGTAGGTTCCTTCCTGTAGCCATAGGGATACAAAAGCATCTGGGAATAGCTGTGGATGGAGATCAGGACCTTGAAATGCTTGTGCTTCTGGATGAAGTTGGCGACAGAGGCCACCTCTGGCTCAGAGTGAGGAAAGGGCCCGTGGTAAGTCTCTGAGCAGGGGTTGTTGCTAGAACCAACACCTAGAAATAAGTCCCCCACCCCCCAAAAATGCAAATTATAAAGTTGTAGTCCCGAGAAGCAGTAGTGTATAGTAGAAAGAACTCAGAAACTATTATGCTATATGAAACAAACAGGGGAATGGTTTCAGAAAACCTGAGAAGACTTATATGAATTGATGCAGGGTGAAGTGAGCAGAACCAGGAGAACACTGTACATAGTAACAGCACATTGTAATAATCAATTGTAAAAGACTTAGCTACTCTGATCAATCCAAGACAATTCCAAAGGACTCACAATGAAAAATGCTCTCCCCATCCAGAGAGAAAACTAATGAACTCTGAGTGTAGATTGAAGCATACTTTTTTCATTTTTCTTGCTTTTTTAATTTTTTCTTTATTTTTCTAGCTTTTTTTGGCAGCATGACCAATATTGAAATATGTTTTGCGTGACTCCACATGTATAATTGATATCATATTGCTTGTCTTATCAATGAGTAGGGGAGTGGCTGGAGGGAGGGAGGAAGGGAGGGGATTTGGAATTTAAAATTTTTTTAAATAAATAATTTATAGTGAGAAAAAAGAAGGAAGGAAGGAAGGAAAAAGAGGAAAGAAGGAAGAGAGAGAGGAAGAAAGACATAAAGCAGAAAGAAAAATTAAATTAAATTAAGAAAGAAAGAAAGAAAGGAGGGAAGAAAGAAAGGAAGGAAGGAGGGAAGAAAGAAAGGAAGGAAGGAAGAAAGGAAGGAAGGAAGAAAGAAAGAAAGAGAAAGAAAGAAAAGAGGAAAGGAAGAAAGGAAGGAAGGAAGAAAGAAAGAAAGGACAGAAGAAAGGAGAGAAGAAAGAAAGGAAGAAAGGAAGAAAGAAAGAAAGAACGATAGAAAGGAAGAGAAAGAAGAAAGAAAAAAAGAAAGAAAAATAATAGGCAGAATTTGGAGTCAGAAGACCTGGGTTCCCCACCTGGCTATGCCAGTGATCCGTGTGACTTTGGGCAAATCACTTTAGTGTTGGGCACCTCAACAGCCTCATCTGTAAAATGAGGTGGCTGCAGGCAATGATTTCTGAGGTCACAGGGTCACAGAATATCAGAGCTGGAAGGGGCCTTAGGGGCCATCTGGTCTAATCTAAACTGCAGAGAATCCCCTCTAAAATACGCCTGACAAGTGCTTGTCCAGCCTTTGTTTGAAGACATCAATGGAGGAAATGATTTCCAAAGCATCCCATTCTAGCTCTTTAGCCTATGATCTAAGACCTTGAACACATAACCCAGAGAAACTGTCAGGGAGGTAGGAATCTACTTACTTGGCAAATCAATGGCCCAGCTTGGGAGCTCCCTCTGCGCGTCCCTGTGGACGTCACAAAGAGCCTCCCTCCAAGAAGATTAGGGGCTCCCATCATCCCAGCTAATCCCAGTTCCCTATTGAGTCAGAGTAACACCAAAGAAGACCGCTTTTGATGACCCCCATCTGCTCCTGATCATTTCTTCGCGGGGAGATGTCTAAGTTCATGGTCTATTGGGCACAGGGAAAAGAACACCAGCCTAGATATCAAGACGCCTGGGTTCCAGTCTCAGCTCCACCAGTACTGGCTGTGTGAACCTTTCTTGTCCTCATATCCTCCTCTGTAAAATGAGAGGGCGGGGCTAGATAGGCTCTTAAGTTCTTTCCAACTTTAAAAATCAATAATTCTAAATATTAGAGGCAGCTAGGTGGCACAGTGGATACAGCACCGGCCCTGAAGTCAGGAGGACCTAAGTTCAAATCCGGCCTCTGACCAAACACTTGACACTTACTAGCTGTGTGACCCTGGGCAAGTCAATTAACCCCAACTGCCTAAACAAATAAAAAAAAAATTCTAAATATTTGAGAATGTAAGGTAAAAAAAAGCATAAGCCCAGCTACTAGGGCTTAGAGCACAGTTAGAACAAATAATTGCTCACACATCTAAAGGCTTTTCCTGACAAAAACCTGTGGGGTGTATAGGACAAGTATTATCCCCATTTTACAGATAAAGAAACCGAGACCCAGAGAAGTCTTGTGACTTACCCAATGTCACATAGCTAGTAAGCAACAGAGTTAGGGCTTGAACTGAGATCACTCACCTCCCCATTCAGCACCCTAGGTTGAAGTGAGATATATTATCTTTTTTATAATTACTTTATTTATTTTTTAGTTTTCAACATTCACTTCCATAAGATTTTGAGTTTTAAATTTTCTTCCCCTTCCTGTCCTCCCCCCTCCCCAAGATGACATGCAATCTGATATAGGCTCTACTTACACATTCATATTAAACATATTTGAAGTGAGATATTTGTAAAGCACTTAGCACATAGTAGGTACTTAATAGTGCTTTGCACATAGTAGACACTTAAAACATGCTCATTCTCTTTCCTCATCCACTGTACCACTCTACTTGTAAGGGCTCCAGTTCCTTAAGATTTTTAATTAACTTTATTTTCTCTACTTATGAGAGAGTATAAATTATTCCAATGTGAGCCTTCTTCTTAATTGCTCTTCCCATATTCTCTTTCCTTTCTCAT